GGGGGGGCAGCCACGTTCACGGCAAGACCTGTAGACCATGTCACTTCTTCGCAACGACCCGAAAAAAACCTTTGCCCTGTCAGCATCTAAGAAATCCTCGTACGTAATTTGAAATGGAAATTTCAAGTAGAGAAAAAAAATCAAGAAAAAACAGATTACGCACAATCGCCGTGCCGTGTCGTTCTCTAAATGCTCGAAACTGCTCGAAAAAATGCTTGTTTCGCGTTTGTTAACAATATTGCGCGTCAACATCGGAGAAAGTGGATGAGAACGGGGGAGAAACGAACGTCTAAATAATTGGCATCTGCTTCATGAAATGCCCGTTTGTCGGCTGAGTGGCGTTTAATTTGCATTAACAAGCTGTTTGGCATATTCACTTTGCATACGCCCGTAAATCGAGTTACTCCTGAATATAGTTGTTAGGAATGCATCGGTCATGGGCACACGCTGCAGACGCTTGTTGCGAAAGTTGCCCATTCATCAGAGGGATGGACTTTCCGCTAACTTTCCATCTCGCCGTCGTTTCAAGAATGCAGATACACGATTGCGTTAGTCACGATTGCAATTACGGATCTAGCTCTGAAAAATTTTTTATTCTCTGGTTGCACGAGATATATTGCGCGTCGATCAACAGGAATGTGTAAAATCCATTCGGTAGCGCCTGTCCGCGCCGTATTCGCCGTTTCCATCGTGAAAAACGTAGGGTTTCCAACCGAGAGCAAAAACCGGAGAAAATTTAAATGGCAAGCGGCGCGCTTTATGTCGCGCGCCACGAAACGGCCTGCCGGCTTTCTCGGCCGCGCCGGGAAACCCTCGCGCGGGGAAGGAAACGTGTGTCGGCATAAAGAAACGTGCGGAATATCGAACGTGAGACGGTAGACGCGCGCAAAAGCTCTTTGGAGACACTCGTTTTCATTTCGAGGGAGTAAAGACGGCGGCCACGAAAGTATATTTCATTATATACGCGGCTGCGAAAAATCGCCCCGGTTTGCTACACCCCCTGCCGACGGTCGATGGATAACCATCGCGCGAGGCAGGAAATATTTTACGCCGCGTGCGGAGGACCTTGGGCCCGATCGATAGAGGAATCGACTACGGGATCGCGACTGATGTCAGTCATTTCCCGAACGATATCGGGGAATGCTTGGACGAATCATTCGTGGATTTTTCAGCCGGCGCGGGCTTTGTGCCGTGACTCGCATTCATATAAGAGGATTAAAAGAGATCGCGATGCGCGTATCGAGAGGCACAGACACGCCGAGCGACTTCCGCGCGCCCGAGAGCGACGAGGAGTAGCGGGACGCGTGACTCTTACACGCGTTAACATTTCGTAACGTCCGAATTTAAGGTTGGTTGGGGTCTCCTCTAAATCGCCTCTGTCGCTGTAACCGCGTTGTTCGGACGACAAATTAGAAAAGTTTATTACAAGCTTCCTTTCGCGATCTCCATCGCGCAGCTGCTCTCTCTGAAGTCGTCCACGCCCTCGAGGCTTACGACACAAGTCGTTGTTCGTCTTATTGTCATAGGCGTCACGATACTGTCCGGGTAGAAGATTGCACGGCCGTCGCAAATTCATTCGCCGCGAGCTCCTTCCTTTCGATAAAAGTTATACGGCGGCTCGTCGAATAAATTTCCCAAAATCGAGACATCGGCTCTTCCCGATGGAGGATCCGTTCCGTAACACCTGAGGCACGTGGAACGAGCCCCGGGGGCGTTTAGCATAAATTTCGTGGGAAAATTCGACGCCTATGGGGTGAAACGATCGTCGTAAGAGACGACGTCCGCTCGCTCGTCTTGCCGACGAGCGGGCCGGACCCGCGTACACGGCAGCCGTACGGCCGCTCTCGCAAGCGGAAGCCATGAATCTTTATTAAATCCACGAAATTTATGTCGAAGCGGTCGCGTGGATTGCGCGTTGTGAAACGTGCGCCGCGATGGTCCCCGAAAGAGTATTTATTTTCTCCCTCATTCCCACCCCACCCCGTCGTGCGCAACATGCGCAATCTCGGTTCTGCTCCGCTCGGCCGTTTACATTGTATAATAAAATATGCCACTCCACGTATGTGTACCGGCACACGTTATTACGCGTAATGTGTGGCTCTCCTTTCCCCCCACCCTCTTTTTCTTTCTCTTTTGTTTCATTTTCAGTGACACACGTCCGCCTTCGCCGAGCGAATAATCACTGTCCGCGAGGCAGATGGACGTGATATTTAATTTGATACGGTAAATAGCTGCCACCGCGAGGGCGAATACTTTCCATTCCTACGCTCGCATAATTTCTGATTTAAAGCGACGTCAACACGATTCCGCCCCGTGCCGTTGTGTTTCATTGTTCCGTTTCTTTTCCCCGACTACTTTGCGCCGCGCCGAAAGTGCGGAATAGTTCAATTTCGCTGCGAAACACGCGAGGGTATTCCCCCGGCTCGACGAGCCCCGTATTTTGCGCTAGCCTCTTTAAGAGGCGATATTATCATGGTGATTTATTTCGATCTTCTCGCCTCTCTGCGCACCGGCGTTATTGCTACCATAAATTCAGGCGTGTCCGCGATGTTTGATATATCCGACCTGACCTACGCTTGTCTCTCAGTTGTCTGCCTCTTCCCTCCCCTTCCCACCCGCGCACTTTGGAAATTTCGGCTCTCGCGCGAAAATTTCGAGACCGTCCTAATCGGCGTCCCGCTCGCCTCTCTCCGTTTCCTTCTCGCAGATTTATAAATTATGCCGAGCCTCGAACCACGACTCTAACGCTCCGAACTCCACACGGAGAGAATTTTCTTTGAAAGTTTACCCTGAAAATTATGTAATCGTGGGACAACATGGTATTTTGAAGAATTTTATGAGAGTTTTTTGAAACGTCATCATACACTTTACTACAGTTTTACTGTAGTTACTGATGTTGGTGGCGTTGCGAAAAACGCAGAGGGTGCAAAAATATATCTAGATTTTATATGAAATCAGAACAACTCTTTAAAATTAGAGCCGTCAACGAATATTGAATCGATAAGTATAAAACATACAGAGGAAACACTGGCGAATTTATATTGCAATGAAACAAGATTTATATAAGAATAAAACAAGATTTATATATATGTGGGCAAAAAGATGAAAAAGATATATTTATATACGCAAGAATGAATTTTCAATATATGGAGCTAAAACGTAAGAATAAACGTTGAGTTTATTATAATTCAACACAAGCACGGCAACTTAAACTAAAAGAAATAAGAATCGCAATATTTATATTGCAGTATCGTGACAATTAAAAATATTTTATTGATTAAGGCAACATTTTCAAAGTTGCATAAGTTTAAAATGATATCGCATTGACAATTATTTAATTCGCTTCTGTCGTACTACACGCGTGTTATAAAATATCGACATATGACAGTTTTACTGTAGTAAAATGTTACTGTTGTAAAATGTATGGTTAACAATAAGTATAATTACTAAGTAAAATGTATAGTAATATTTCAAAAAACCTTATACAATTCTTCGAAATGCCATGTCCTACGTTTACATGGTTCTCAGGATAAATTTTAAGTAAAAATTCTTTTCGTGTACACCGATAAAAAAATATCTCAGTCCAAAAAATTATTACTTTACTCAAGAAAATTATTCGTTAGGTGGCTCCTAATATTGTAGCTATAAAATTAAATTAAATTGAAATAAAAAAATAAACAAATTAAAACACGCATTGCTTTAATTTAAGTATTTTTTAAATATCAAAGAATAGATAATTTTAAATTAAAAAATTTTTTTTGGTCAGTGTAGCTACGCTCGACTTTTATGAATTAATACCGACTCACACGATTCATGTAATGTTATTCGTTTTAGTAATTGTTTCATCTGTAATATCTTACAAATATCTATATCCGCTAGACCTTTTGTCCACATCTATTTTTTCTTATCGTATTCTCATAACAGTCGCGTACAGCGAATGCAGTGGAGTTTTTTTTTTGTAGTAAAGAAAGTATTATCGCTAAACGCCTAATCTACAATGTGCTCTTTGCGTCTAGAAACATTTGGTATAAGCAAATTATAACGCTTTAAAAAATTCGTCATCAACGTACGATTGTACAACGTACAACGTACAATTTGTCAACTTGCACAAATTTTTTTAAACCTATTTATTGACTACGAAATAGAATGTTTCTAGACGCAAAGAGCACATTGTAGATTAGGCTTCATCGTTGGTGAATGATCATAATTCAAGTTTTAAGCCAAGACACTTCGGCATATATTTTGTAAGATCCCACGTCTTTGAGAAATGCGTAATAATAAATCTCGAGTGTAAAGAGATTCTCTCAGTCGAGCGAACAGTTATCGATGTTGTAAATTTCGTGCATTATTCATTCAAAATTTATACTAATTCATAGTCTTCGATTTTAACAAGCAACTTTAAATACTCGTGTCTTTAACAAAGGTGTAAACATTCGCAGACGCGACAGTAGATAAAGATGTGAACAATAGCATTAGTTTGTCTAGCTTTATCTATTCTTGCGAATTGATAATAATGACAGTATACTGTGAAAGAAGTGCTATCTCTCACTGAAGAGTGGTCGTGGTTGTTAACGAGTGTTCGTTAATTAGCGATTAAAACATCGCGAGCGAGCGAGCGAGCGCGGGCAACGATGTCGAGACTCGTGAATACGTACGTCAAGCGCTTATTAGTCGGCTCGCAGTTTCGCGCGAGAAACTTGACGTTATTACACGGGGCGCATAAATTCCCCGCAAAAGCCAATAAACTTGATCACATTTAAATGACAGATGGAATCCGGTGGCTCGTACGTCTTGATGGCGAAGCAACAGCTTAGTAGGGATGGTTTATAGCGGATTGGAGAAGAGTCTGAAGAAGAGTGTACAGTGTAAGTCGGAGGATAGGATAGGAGTGAAAGAGGGGAGAAAGAAGAACGTTGAGACAGAGAGGGAAATAGAGAGAGAGGGGGGGAGGGTAGAAGGGAACGAAAGAGGAGCAAAGGTATGTCTGTGATAAAAGCACGGGTGGTGGGTTGATAGTAGAGGGATAGAGTGAGAGAGAGAGGGGGGGAGATAAGAGGAGAGAGGGGTTGTCTATACCGCGTTTAAACTCAGCGGGGAAAACTGTGAGAGCAGGAGCGCGAGCGCGGGCTTGAAGCGTGGGTGCGGACTCCAGTCGCGTGCGACGCGCGCTCTCAGCCGCTACTGCGTGTTCCTCAGCTCCGTTTCGACGCTGAGGAATGAACGCGGAGGAATGCGAGGAAACGCGCGCGCGGAACTAGACGTCCGTTTTGAAATCAGAATTTCGATGACGAGAGTGCGTAACAGATTTTCTGCGATAAGTTCTTTCGCGGCGTGGAAATCCGCTCGGCGCCCCAGCTCGGGACCGGCGAGTATGTAAAGTCGTGGGAAATAAATCGTGGACCGTATTACAACGATAGAATGCGGTGGAAGCGATAGATGCGCGGTTGCAACGGCAATATATCGGGAACGGTGCGCTATTTGTGACTCTCGGTTACGGGAAATCGAAATTGACGAGTTCGATGAGACGAAGCGCGAGCTTCGTGATGCCGTTTGATGGAATGATGTACGTTTTATTATCGGTGCGCCTCTGCCGGTCGAGAAAATTGTAATTGCAGCTTTACACGGATAAAAATTATTGAGAGAGAGAGAGAGAGAGAGAGAGAGAGAGAGAGAGAGAGAGAGAGAGAGAGAGAGAGAGAGAGAGAGAGAGAGA